ATCGCAAATAACTTATCAATAAAATTCACTTACATGGTAGATTGCAGAGTGCAGACCAAGAACTAGAACATGGACTGCATGTGCGAAGTCTTTTTTTTCATTATGGTCAGATATCATACCGATGAGTCAAGTGAGGGGATACTTCGACAATATCTTCCTCTCAGTCTCCATTATAGATACCGAACTTTACCCCTTATTCTCGGCTCATTATTAAGTTATTACCGGGCCAAGAGTCAACACGTTACCTGAGTATTGAATTAAATAAGCGCATTGTACTGATTGTAATTCAAGTGATAACTTGTGATAACATACAATATAAACCTTCAAATGCAAAAATTCAACCGTCTGCGACCTTGAAAACGACCTATAGTCAATTTAAATCGACACTTAAAGTCAAATAACTTGCCTGCATATACAGAGAATACTGATGTTGTCTTGTTACATCTTACACTTGATTAGTCCTTGCTATGGAAAATTATAATTAAAAGCAACATTACTAATTGGGTTTAAAAATACCTAATTCAAAAACTGAACAAAAAACACTATAATGAGCGCTATAATCTGAGTAAAATAAACAGTCAACATTACGTGATGTCGGGAAAGGCACTGAAATTAATATATGATAATTGTTAACTGTCCTCTATTTTAGGGTTCTTTTATAACAGCTTTGATATTGGGACACTTACGACACTGTTTAATAAAAGGTATAGATAGCTGTAGAAGTGAAGGTTACATCAATATGTCTTTAACAAAACTTCATAACTGGAGAAGGGAGCTGGACAGGGAATCTGGACACAGAACCAGTATGTCGATTAAGCACTAGGTCATTGTGAGAGCTCGGAGCCACAGCTAACTAAAACTCTTGTAAAACTCTAATTTGCTAAAAGCAGCACGCCTATTTATATGCACTGGTCCAAATCCTGTGATGGACTTGTGTCATATTACATTAGTGGCTAGTTATGGTTAGTTAGAGGTATAGTAGTTGGGGCAAGTTGCGGTTAACTCTGGTAAGAACTAAGAAGTGGTAAGATCTGGTAATATAAGTTAGGGCAGGTTAAGACTATCCCCCTAAAGCTTTCAGAAATAGCTGCTCACTGCTATTGTTACTTCTGACCATGTGGTGCAATGTGTAATGATATTGTGTTAGCCCATATCAAGGTCTAGATTATTCTACGAAACGAAACGAAACGAAACGAAACACTGTATTTACTACCCCGCTCTTATGCGACAAAGATATTGCATAAAATATACTTAAATAATTTACACAATACGGTGCCCATGTCTGAGCGGCTCTCCAAAAAAAACTTTCTCTCTTCCTCAGAGCAGAAAGTTTTTTTTTAAATATATAAACTGGGGTCTCATAAAAATTTAAGAACCAATGTACTTTATTTCACACAAAAACTTTAAAAATATGTCACATATTGATATAAGGTTTAAAAACTACCAAGACGCGTGCCGAGTTAGACTCGTCAACGGTCTTATATAATTAGAATTTTTACGAGTATCATCCGTTAAGGTACACAAAAGAAACACTTCATAATTACATATCGTTCACTCTGATATCTTTTCCTCACAACAAATAATACCACTTCTGATATAATATCGTCTCTTCAAGTCCTTCTTTGCCTTCTTTTTCATCTCCAAAACGAGCAGATGTTGTCTGGCTTGCTCTTCAGGTGACCGATCTGGAGAAATGTAAACTGTTTTGTGGTGCTGACTCCGTCTCAGGTTCTTCGATTTCAATAATATCTCGTGGACATTATTGGAATTTGTGACCGATATTTTGATAGGTCTGGTCTTGTCGGCTGATCTCCTTCCAATCCTGACAGCTTCATACCGTGGTTTCACTTCGATCTGTTCAAACAGTTCGTCTACTTTATCGGATAGTTTTTCATCATCCGTCTCCATTAAACCAAACACAACAACATTTTTACTGCGGTCCTCCTTCGATACAGCACTCTGAACTGCCTTTTTCAAGCCCTGTTCTGTCAGTGCAGTTTCCGGCGGGTCCTTTGAAACAGCTTTACTGTATGACCTGATTTCAGCTTGTACAGTTTCCTGAACGGCAGATTTGACTGTGGTCTGAACAGATTCCAACTGCTTTGATTTGCCCTCAAGAAGTTCACTCTGCAGTTTGATAACCGAGTTTTGTGACCGAATAAGAGAGCTCTTCAACTCCTCCACATCTTCCTTCATTTTGACAGCTTCTCTGACAAATATCTTCGTCTCTTTGTACACACTGTACAACAACTTTGACATAACTTTCTTAGTTGGTTTGCTTGGTTTTTCAAATTGTTCTGCTGAAAACTCTGACTCATCACAGGTTGAGGCTTCTTCAAGTCTTGTTATCCAAATATGGAAGTCTTCGTAGGCTTCAGTCAAACATACAGAACGAGCTGACAAACGTTCTAATAATTCCAATTCGTCCATGATTTACCTTCTATAGAAGGTAAATCTATCAATAGTAAAATGCCAAAGCTAGCAACCCAACATAATAACCCCTCACATTCTGTCGGGCCTTTTACTGTGGCAACTCGTCCGGGAGTTGTTAAACAATTTAAAAAATAGCTGAAATAGTGAATACTATATTTGGAATAGTCGTGGAGTGTACTGGGTAGATTTAAGCACCAACCAGAGTGTATGAAACTTAAAACTGGACATAATTTCAGATTACCGGATCGGAAAGGTATGACCTTCTGTGAGTGTTGAACAGGCCACAGGGCAGGAAATAGCCTCTACAAAAGTCAAGTATTCAACGTCCCACTTTATGTTTAAACTTTAAATCTATAATACAAACTGAGCTCTTTGTTTTAATATCAATGTTCGAGGGCTTAAATGGTAAAGGTACGATCAAATGTTAATTACACACAAATGGTTTACTGTTATAATTAAGCAAATCGTCGAGTAAACACAGAGTGTAAACAAATATATGAGACATATTAGAAACACTTAATAACTGGTTTCCTAGCAGCGATGTGATGTAGGTATAATAAGCCCTCACATTCTGTCGGGCCTATTATTATGGCAATTCGTCCGGGAGTGGTTAAACAATTTACACGATTTTACACGATTAGAAAATTTATTTGTTATACTGGAATAATAACAATTTTAAAATATAAAATAAATCACTTCCCTTTGAAGTAGAACATATGATGGGAGAGCTTCAAACATGGCGATGGAGGGAAGCGGTGTCTCACCGCTGGGAGGTAAATTAATACCCGTATTGCGATGGTAAAATTTTATGATATGAGATCTCAAGTAAAAAATAACACAAAAAATAAAAAGTGAATGTTGTCAGTGTAGTGAAATCGGAGGCAACATTAATAAAGACGTATACACTTAAACCGTTAATTTAAAGGGCAGGCAGGAGCCTCCACAAAAGTCACGTATTCAACGTCCCACTTGATGTTTAAATCTATAATACAAACTGAGCTCTTTGTTTTAATATCAATGTTCGAGGGCTTAAATGGTAAAGGTACGATCAAATATTAATTCCACACAAATGGTTCAAATGGTTTACTGTTATAATTAAGCAAATCGTCGAGTAAACACAGAGTGTAAAAAAACATATGAGACATATTAGAAACACCTGTGATGTGATCGACAGCTTGTTAGTGTACGGCTAGCACGATCCTGTCCGCAACTGGTCAATCACGTATCGATTGATCAGATCTCAACGGATCACATCAGCATTAGAACAATGGGAGCAACGTCACGAGATTACCCGTGAGCTTGTGAAATACGAATGTGAACCGAAGTTACAATATATAATGATCCGAAATTCGGACAGATGTCGCCAAAAACTGCTCCTGTCCGACAGCGAAATCTGTCCGAAATCCCCAATCCGGCTGTCGGACAGATGTCGCTGCCGGACAGCTGTCGCTGCCGGACAGCTGTCGCCCAATAAAAAATTATGCAGGTTAAACCAGTCACAATTGTCGATTATAGATTACTAAAACGTCTGACCTGTTGAACATATTGATATGATAAAACTGATAATAATTCTGGGATCAGGATAGGCATGAGCAGGTTACAGTAAAGTTAAATATCTACAGAAACCGAACACTGTGTTTTCAAAGTTCAAAATATTATGTGCCTTTATACTTATACTCAAACAGGTCCGACCGGTATACCTTTCAATTAAATGATATGAAATGCTTAAACAAGACCAAATTCCCTAAAATATACATTCATTCAACGTGCATTAACTATACTAGTATACAGTGCAGATGGCTCTAAAAGCGAAAGCTATCCTATAATCCTACCTAAACAGCAGCAATCAAGGATCGAAATAACTAACGGTAGATCGAGTAGATAAACTAGAATAATTCAAGTTCAAAACCATTACGAATAAAATAGTAATAAAGGTCGATCGAATTTATAATTAATAAAGCTGGATCCAAATTAAAGCCACAAACATGTTCTCCGCAAGCATTTCGTATTGGCGACACACAAATATTCAACACAATCACGTATGGCGCGGCGCTTTATTATGGAGGGAACTGACTGAGTTCCCTTTTGGTTTGTTATTGTTTGCAAAACGGCTATGACCCCCTGTAGCGTCTTCGACGCTACAGGGGGAGCCGCGCACTTCGTGCGCGACGGGTCATACAACGTATGACAAAGAAATCGCAATAAGGAGATTTTTGTCATACGTTGTATGACCCGTCGCGCACGAAGTGCGCGGCTCCCCCTGTAGCGTCGAAGACGCTACAGGTGAAGACGCTATAGTGAAGCGACAGTGGGGGTCACCGCGTGATACAAGGAGATTTAACCAAATTTTTTGTTGCGCCATTTTTATTCTCATATCAAATATGCGCTGATACTTTTCGGTCGAATTTCTTTTTGTTGCCGCTCATAGCAATTAGCAGAGAGCCTCAATGCACACACCGTATATTTAGTTTGATAGTAGTTGTTTTGTTGCACATTGTAATGCAGATGTTACTAAATGATCTTGAGAGGGTATTTAATATAACTTAGTTAGTGTTACTGCGTTTTGGCTGCGATGTGCTGGAGACTACTAGAAACTTGTTCTAGTATAGAATAGCTTAGTGGATCAGGATGTTGCTAAATTAAATCCCTTGTTACACTCGTTTAGTTCTGGACAGGATTTGAACGTTTTACACTTTTATCAGATCATTTCAATCATGCTTCATACCGAAATTACAATTAACCCATTCAAGCCTTGTATAAACAATAACGGACAGTATTCTGTGTTAGAAAAAATATATGTACTTCCAATCAAATCGTGCAATTTCCTTGGTACACAGGTGCACATTCTTTGATGCCCGAAATGCATTCCAAGCTCTAGATATCTGCCTTCAATAATGGCCTATAATCACATTTGCCAAAAAACAGCTGCTTTGTAATGCTGGTGTGTCCCACTTAGTTTGATTATCTTAGTTAAGCTGTAATATCGAACTCGAAGACCTGTTTCGTTATTATTTCTTGAAATGCAGGTATTTGAAGGTTTTGAAGCAATTTTTTCAATTAATCTATTTTCCTGGTGTAGAAACAGACCTAACTTGATGTATATTGTTTATTCTAATTAAAGTATATTTGAATTTAAAATATGAACTTCAAATATCATTATTTCTAGCTGAACCAGAATTTCCTTTGGGACGAGATGCTTTCCGGACAAACATTATTGTATGCTGATATAATAATTAACAACCGATCCTATGGGCTGAAATATGTAAGTACTTTGTTCAAGCTTGATGTGACCTTTTTTATCTTAGTATACTTATGACTGCTTTAGCTCAGCCTTTATAATAAAAGATAACCTCTTACCAAGCGATTGTGGAGAGAAATGACAGTCATATTTACCATTACCATTTTACAACTATTTAACAGTACCACCAACTGACTGTAATTTTCAAGCAAGAATTATTACTGATGAAAACCCATTAAATACCTAAAACTGCGTTGTACAAACACACTTGTTTATTGATAGTTAACATTAAGGATGGTTGATGCCTGTTAAGTTCATTACAGTGGAGTTCCCACTTACGAGTGTTGGCTGAGAGGTGGCGCACCTGAGAGGTGGCGCGGTGTATGCAGAGTATGATAATGTCAGCCTTACCGCGGACGCGATAATTCAAACGTAATGAAAGCTAATGTCAGCTGCGCCGCAAGGCTGACATTATCATACTCTGCATACACCGCGCCACCTCTCAGGCGCGCCACCTCTCAGTTTACCACTCGTAGGTGGGAACTCCACTGTTATGCTCATCTACTTACCAGTTTATTTACAGCCAATTCTTATCATTGTGACTTTAGCAAGTGGATATTTTCAATGCAACATTTAAACATCGTTTTTAGGCAAGATTGGGCAATTTGGTTTTGATCACTGGATTGATCACCAAAAGTTACTTAATTGAATAATAATTTGAAACTAAATCATTCGAAATCACTGATTGAGTGCCATTGATTGAGTGAAGAAATCACAGATTAAGTGCCAGGATCATGTATCCGTGCCAGATCTTAAAATGGTCATAACTCGGCTTAGTTGTAAACAACGAACTTGAAGTTATAGGAAAGCACTTCAATTATCAAAACAAGTCCAAATGTGTCTGGAAATTTTGGAGTTCCTAACTCAAAACGTTCTCAATTTATGGTGACAATAGAGAAAAAGAGGGAGTGTACAACCCTATACAATCTCACTAGTGACAATATACCTTTAGAATTTTAGAAATAAGTGCTCTATATTCGTTTCCTCCTTCAAATAGTTGATTTGGTCATTTACTTTTGAAACACTGAGACAGTCTGAGTTCTTTAGCTTTGATCAGTATCTGATGAACGGTGCTAGAGTTTCAAAATGATACTTTGACAGCTCTGGGTTTTTCAGCAGACATATTCCCAATTTGAGCAGCTTCGAAGCGTGGCTTTTCTGCAATTTGTTCAAACACATCACAAATTTGATCGCCAAGTTTCTCTCCTGTATCCTCCTTGAGACTAAAAATGAAGACATTTCTGCAATCTGCTGCGATCTTCTTCAGCTACAACATTCCAAACTACTTTCTTCAAGTTTTCTGCCGTGAAAGTGGAGACAGAGCTGGGGGAAGGGTTTCCTCTGCATTTTTTGCTGATTTCTGAGCACTGATGATTTCACTTTTCATTTCCTCTATCTTTTTATTCGTGGAGAATACGCTGATATTAGACAATACCCTAAAACGCATCAAAAAGGTGCTTTACTAGAACGTCCTTGTTTGGTTTCTTGAACTTCTCGAATGTGATATCACTATCTTCATCAAAGTTTATTGTCTTCATTACCTCAACCCAAATACCAAGATCATTAGAAGCATCTGAAAGCTGGTCGAAATGTTTACTTGACTACATTAGAGAGTCTAAGTACACATCTTCCATAACGTACTCACAATTGTATAGCACCGGACACAAAGTAGCAGATAAGTCGTCGAATTATAGCAATAAGAGATGCACATGTAAGAAATGTAGTAAATCAAAGTTTTCACTTTTTAGTTCCCGTCGGATCACATGATTTCTCTCATAGAATTGGTTCCCAATTAGTGGTTTTACAGTACCGTCGAGCTAGAATAATGACTCCATATGAGTGTGTTACGTATTGTTAAGCTAGGATCTTAGTATTAAGCAATAAGGTGTCAGAGAGCTAAGAGATGACAGGGAGTGATAGACAAGGTTCGACCGGGATCCCGGTTTAATCCCGGATTTTTTGAAAAACTGAAGTTTAAAGCAAAATTATTTACCAATTAATAAACAAAACACTGTCAGAGTCAAGTGCCAATTTGTTGGGTAAGCTGTGCTTGTGCTTTTTATCAGTTGCGGATACCATATTTTAGTGTAAGTGTTAAGTGCTGGTTTTCTTAGCTATGATCCCGGTCCCAAATCTGGCTGAATCCCGGTCCCGGCGTATACCTGGTTCCGGCACTCCTTTCCAGTCCCGGCCAAAACAGCAGTCCCGGTCGATCCTTGGTGACAGAAGGGGCGGTAAATAATGTTTTGTTTCTGATATTGGTCAAAGAGCGTACTGTATAGCATTGAACCTACACAGTTTTAGTACCCCTCACTTGAGTACTTGTGAACCATAGTCCATGACCACTAATTGGGAACCAATTCTGTGCGGAGAGAAACCATGTGATCCGACGGCCAAGGGGACCAAAAAGTGAAAACTCTGATTTACCGCACTATTTATCTTTCCCCAAACTGTACTGTAAGTCGGGGTTTTACTGTATATATTATCACGAAGATCAGCCCAGGCTAGTAATTGCCATCCTGATATTTAAAGTAAATACCATTTTATTTAGAAAATAAGTGCTTACTTTCTATCACCATCTTATAAGTAATACTAGGCAAAATAGTGATACGTATACATATATAGTGCAGAGTGCTACATAGAGATCAATTGTTTCATCTTAAGTTTGTTACGCAGCTTACGCTCATACCTGGTAGTGGTAGTGGTACCAGTAATAGTGATAGATTGCCCGACCCTAATCGTGGGTTTTAATCACGTGCTTCATGCTTGTTATAGGTGGTTATCAGCTGTTATGTTCTAAAAATTATAGCGCTCATTGTAAGACGTAGGTTCAATGTTGGTATGGTTTTAATTAAATTAGTTACCCAGAATTTTATTAAGATATTGTAACGTAATAGCTTTTTGAGTTCCGTTATTTTGTTTAAGTGTAATTGTTATTCAAAACATATAATTTCAGGTGTTAAAAGCTTGGAGCAAGACACATTACGATCGATGGCGTTCGCTGACTGATGCATTGCTATTTACTGCTGACTAGCTTATCCTTTTGTTGCCTCTAATCAGTGATGAACACCAATTAGAATCAATCGATTTAATTCACAGGATATTACGATTGTTTAACAAGGGCCCTAGCACCTGTAGTTTAAGTTATTCGATTCGATTTTTATTAAATAACTCCGTTTTTCTTTTTCTGATCTATTATTAGAGCTGTCAATGTCTTCATCTTATATTTATTGCTGCGATGTTTTACTTTATTTTATATATCAGTTGAGACTAATTAATGAATTTGACAAATTTACAAGTTTTAAATTTTTGATAATATTTGATATTTCGCCATATTTATAAATGTGTTATCAGTAGTCAATAACTACACAATATGTAATGTATTTGATTTCTGTTTGTGTGTACAACCACTCCCGTGCATAGTAAAGCAGGCGGAGACTTGCACGTGCACGTGTTAAGAATTTGGAGCTAAATTTCGATCATTTACTGTTGAGTTTAGAGTGTTCTACGAAATAATAGCATGTATCTTCGGTTGTGATTTAAATTTTATGATACGATAAAAATTGATTTCTAGCTTCCTCCCTGTGACAACGGATTTTCTAGTATGTCTTTAGAGTAAAATAAAGGTCGAGACATATCTATATGGTACAAAATTCGGGGATTTTTGGAAAAAATTGGAAAAAATCCCCATATTTTCGTACTGAATTTCTGAAATTTCGTACTGAATTACTGAATTTATGAAAAAAATCCCCATATTTTCGTTCCCCCATAATTTCGATCCCCGCTAATTATGATCCACATAAATATGTCTTGTAAGGTATGATTCACATTCGACACAAAAACCGAGAATGCACTCTGGCATTGTTCGTGCGCTGCTCGGGAGAGCACGTTTCCTTGATTTGTGTAGGAGATTTCACACTTGTATGAGTTCCCTGGTATTTGGAACATTTTCAGGTGGTTTAATGGTTATATTAGTACTTGTCCCTAACAATTAGAAAAACCGAGTTTCGACATCTTGACCCACTCAGGCCACTCCCAGGGGCCACGCCCACCCCAAAATTACTGAAATCCAGGTCAAATCAAGAATGAGAATCTTTACCCTTGTATGGGTTTTATGTTCCGGGGTATTTGGAACATGTTTAGGATGTTTAATAGTTATTACCTGTCCCAAACCATCAGAAAGACCGAGTTTCGACATCTTGACTCACTCAGGCCACTCCCAGGGGCCTCGCCCACCCCAAAATTACTAAAATCCAGGTCAAATCAAGAATGAGAATCTTTACCCCTGTAGGAGATTTATGTTCCGGGGTATTTGGAACATGATTTGGTGGTTAGATAGGAAGTACCTGACCCCAACAACCAGAGAAACTAATTTTCGACGTCTTGACCCACTCAGGCCACTCCCAGGGACAATTCGAAACTATTTTTAGGGGATTTGAAATCCGTGTCAAATCCCCTAAAAAATCCCCAACAAAATTCAGGGAAACGTCTTCTGCTACGTTACTCGGGAGAGCACGTTTCCTTGATTTGTGTAGTGGATTTGTAGTGGATTTCACAGGTGTAGTGGATTTGTGTTCCGGGGTAGGTGGAACATGTTTTGGTGGTTAAATAGGTAGTACGTGACCCAAACGATCATAAAAACCGAGTTTCGACCTCCCAACCCACTCAGGCCACTCCCAGGGGCCACGCCCATCCTAAAATTACTGAAAATTAGGTAAAATCAAGACCGAAAATCTTTACCCCCGTAGTGCATTTATGTTCCGGGGTAGGTGGAACATGTTTTGGTGGTTAAATAGTTAGTACTTGTCCCAAACCATCAGAAAAACCGAGTTTCGACCTCCCAACCCACTCAGGCCACTCCCAGGGGCCACGCCCATCCCAAAATTACTGAAAATTAGGTAAAATCAAGACCGAAAATCTTTACCCCCGTAGTGCATTTATGTTCCGGGGTAGGTGGAACATGTTTTGGTGGTTAAATAGTTAGTACTTGTCCCAAACCATCAGAAAAACCGAGTTTCGACCTCCCAACCCACTCAGGCCACTCCCAGGGGCCACGTCCATCCCAAAATTACTGAAATCCAGTTAAAATCAAGACCGAAAATCTTTACCCCCGTAGTGCATTTATGTTCCGGGGTAGGTGGAAGGCCAGGTTCCACTAATGGTTTTCTGATCGCTTCAGAGTGATTATTAAAGAAAACACCGCTTATAATCGTTTTTTCTAATGTAATAAGTGGTTCGAAATAATTGCTTATAAACCATTTATTATCGCGGGAATTAATACGGGAAAGCGATTATAATTGTCTAAAAGCGATTTTCAAGTAGCTTGGGATTATAAGCGGTGGAAAAGAGTAGGCCAGATAGTTCGTCTTTTTTCGAAACAATTTTTAAGCGATTATATGCGCTTTTACAACTTTATAATCGATTACAATTTAGCGTTTATAAAATCGCTAAAAAATCTTCACCCCCACCCTTCCCTCCTTCCTCCTCTCAATCTACTATCTCGATCTCCGGGTTTTTTATTTTAGGCATATTAAACGACTCACAAGCGATTATGAGCGATTATAATCGATTGTAAGCGCTTTCCTCGATTATAGGAACACCCAAGTTTATATTTATAGCTTACGTCAATTTTCCTTTTAACTGCTACAGTTTTAGGCAATGAAGCGCCAAAAGAAGATGTGTTACTCGACCTGTTTCTACTACACTGGTTATAGCTCTGCGTTTATGTGTGGGAATTGCTACAGGCTTCATTGCTACAGCTTCAATGCTTCTGAGGAGGGTTATATGGTGATGGCCGCCAGCTGGGTTGGGTCCCAAGTTATGAACTGAAACTATCATCTATCAGACAAGAATTTGGAGGTTCAGCAGCGTGTTTTAACTTTCCTAGTCTTCCCCCGAAATCAAGATATATTTTGAATACAGATGCCTCCTATAGAGAACCGCCGCTAGAACTGCGAAATCAACATTCCAGTACCGTGCTATGTTCAGAAACTGGATAGCCCTATTATGATACAAGAGAGGGGTACAATGAAAGTTATGTGGTCTCTCTACTCCGGTATATTTCCAGACTACGACCCCCTGAGTGTATGAAAATCACCTACCCGCCAGCAACACCACTGTCTCCGTCATCCTGAACGATCATAATGAGGTTCTCTTATCTGCTCCGCTTATCTACCACCATCCTAGCTGCTATTCTCAGCATTCAGTCAGGTATTTCGGTCTTGAAAATACAAAGGATTCATGTTTGCGAGGGTCTTTGCAGAAAACAAGGCTAGGGGTGACACCTTTACTTGTTCTGGATAGTCATGTTGAGATGAAGATGGGATGTGGGAGCCTCTGCAGCAGTCTCTGACTGGAAATTACGCGCTATAGTTGCTCCCGTGTTTGATTTCTTCGAAAAACTTCATTTTAAAACGATCATCTCTCAGATTTGATACCTAGTGTAATATGCGGGTTTTACTACAGCCGACGAGTTTATTCATTTCACCCGTTCTATAGGTCAATAATAATGGTGATCTCCTGATTTCTATAAACATATTCCAGTCAAAAAAATTCATCCGAGTTGACTGATAAGTTTTTGCTTTAAAACATATTTTTTGTTAAATCGTCTTTCAAAATTACGTCTTTATGTTCAATTTGGTGTAGAATTAAACTTATAGAGTTATTAGGAAGTTTACCTCAAACAGATTGAATAGCCTAGAGAGATCAATTATATAAAAATCCCACCCGGTCTCTTTGTAGCAGCTACCGGACGAATATAACAAGTATAAAACCCACTTCTTCATTCCCAAATTTGCAGCTCATTAATGCTTGCTTCCTGTTGCGAAATTTTGAAAAAATCCTAGATGATGATCGCTTGATGATGTACAAATTATAAATGGGCTCAGGAGTGTAAAATCTCATGAAAATATAATAAACAAGTGAAGTGCGAACGTTTCAGTAACACTAAAACATTACTAGGCTAAAAGTTTTCCACAGTGGAGGAGGATGGAGGAGTCATCACGAGGCGAATGATATTTGAATCGATGGTATATCACCGGTCCACTAAACGCTCTTATTTTGTATCATGTGTAGGGTTAGCGCCCTCTGGCACCTGTTAGCTATACGTGTTACCAACGAATTCGGTTTACAGTATGTACCTACAACTCGCCGTATAAGAATTATACGTTACGACAACAGTGGGGAGCACCACATTGTATCTAACAAATAACATGGTGAAGCAAAAAGGACCTTCACGTATGTCCTTTCGTTTCCTTTTTGTTCAAAATTTATCGCCGTGGATCACGAATTGATCAGTAAAGAAACTGTATATTAATTAAAAAAAAAAAATATAAAAACCTTGTTATTATTTGTGAGCTTACGTAGTATGAAGTTTAGCAGTTTAACGACAAGAATCAAAACACCACAAAAAGATGCCAAATTTAAATTTCATTGTGTACACATTAATAACCGGGGAAAAACTGGTCTTTAGTTGAGTTGAACTAACGCCGTGAAGTTTTTACAGTTAGAGGAAAAACAGTAAAATAACATTATTTAAGGTGAAACTAAAAAATGAACATTTTAGAGGGCCACCTGGGTAAAATTCGTGACAAAGCTTTTGTTTTAAGACCTTATGTGAGATCCGAATTATAGTGTCGGCGAAAGCGTCTAATGTCCCATCTCTGAAAAATAGAACTAACGGGGTTAGTCGGTGAGAGGGGTTTGCAAGGACAAAAGGAAATCGCGGCACAGCGAATCTCGATATTTTCCCATTATCCGAGACAAATTGCGATCTTCTTTAAATATGGTCAACAATATCTATTCACCAATCGTTCACCAATCCTATTCCACCAAATTCGCGTATTTTCCTTTAAATCTGCAGGTCAAATATAATTATATGGATAATGGAACCAATCCACGGTCCACAGCCTGCCAAATGTATATACGGACTTCGAAATCGAAAAAATATTTTCGGCTAATAATATGATCAGGCTAGCATGAAACTTGAACAAAGTAGTTTCAAGTAAAAACTTTGGACAAGATTTTGACTTATCGAGTCCATTCTCGATACGTTCCTATGAAGGCAGAGCTCCGCTTCCGAGATCGTATTGCAAAGGGGAGGCCT